CATCAAGTAAAGGTTTAACTTTTTATTCCAACAGAAAATGGGAAGAGACCAGATTTTTAAGAATACTTTTCAGGGCATCTATTCTGATCAGAAGATCTGTAAAGACTGTCCTCACAGGTTAGTGAATATATCACTGGCAAAAAACATTATGATCATCATTTTTAAGTGATTCTTCTAGTATGTTGTGAATTTTGCATTTGTTGAAAGACTTGCAAATATATTTCTAAATGGATCTGTAAATGTTTACTGAATTAAATTTTCTTTGATTTTCATGTTCTTAAGGAAATATTTGTTGAAATTTATCATTTTGAGCAATTTTGAATTGTCAAAAATTGTTATTTAAATTTATCAGAGGACTTTTAAAAGAATGAGGGAAGCTGTGGGTTCATTTCACCGGTTATGAATGTAGCTCTGTGCTCAAACTCAGGTATTGTGATAATTTTCAAAATATTAAGATTCCATCATTGCTAATGATTTTTCTCTTATTTCCTGATTAGATATGAGCGTGAGGAAGCTTTCATGGCGCTCAATCTAGGAGTTACTTCTTGTCAAAGTTTGGAAATTTCTTTGGATCAGTTTGTTAGAGGAGAAGTTCTAGAGGGAAGTAATGCATATTACTGTGAAAAGTGTAAAGAGAAGGTATTACATTTGCCCTTTTTTAAAAACAAGATTAATTTGTTACTCATGTACTTTGTCTCTATAGTAAGCTTCCATTGTTACTTTATTAGATTGTGTTATTGCTTGTTTACACACGGGTGGGAAAGGCCTGTAGAAATCTACAGCCTTTGCATTAATTATTTTGCTGTTTCATTTTCTCCATGGAGATAATTGGCTTTCGTTTTTCTTTAGAGAATAACGGTGAAAAGGACCTGTATTAAGTCTTTACCCAGTGTCTTGGTAATTCACCTAATGAGATTTGGATTTGACTGGGAGAGTGGACGCTCCATTAAATACGATGAACAAATAAGGGTAACTTTTTTTTCCTTGAAATTTGTTACAACCGTTACCTTATTCTTATTTTCACTGTTGCCTTCTTATATTTTCAAATTTCACCTAAAATGCACAAGCATAGGGGCTAAGCATTACAAAGGTTACACAGCCACTTCCCTTAAGCAACTGTTGCTCATGGACTAGGCATCAGCTGTAAACAACAGTCCTCATTTCTAGAAGGCATCCCAGTGATGGCTGTGAAGTCGTATGCTGTGTTTCATGCTCAGACCAGAAGCAACTTATGTATTATGTGGATACTTTTCTAGATTTGTCAGCCATTCTGAGATTTTTCTACTTGAATTGGCTTAAATTAGGAAAACACATCCCTCTTATTTGTATCTGACTTAACTGGATAGTGCTGTACAAGTGATTAATCAACATTAATGTGGTCCTTTTGTTTTTAAATAGTTTCCCTGGATGCTAAACATGGAGCCTTACACAGTTTCAGGAATGGCTCGCCAAGATTCATCTTCTGAAGTTGGTGAAAACGGGCGAAGTATGGATCAGGGGGGTGGAGGATCCCCAAGGAAAAAAGTGGCCCTCACAGAAAACTATGAGCTCGTCGGTGTCATCGTACACAGTGGGCAGGCACATGCAGGCCACTACTATTCCTTCATTAAGGATCGGCGGTAGGGGTTTCTTGTGGCGACAGTCTCTCTGCCTGACCTATAGTCTCTCATCTGCTCTCCCCAGCCTAGTCTCTGTCTCCTCCACTCTCCCCATCTGTTCCTCTGTGCTTACCTTTATGGTGCAAAGAGGCTTTGGCATTGCTCTTTGATCTTACTGCATTTTGAATTTTAAAATTTCGTGTAACTATTTTAATCCCTTAAATTTGGAAAGTTATTTTAGAGACTGAAATAACTGTTGCTACATTTTTCTTAGATTTTTTTTTAAATGGTAATCACCTGCTTTGTTTGTCGACAGTACATAGAAAGAAATATGGAGAGTGAGGATGTTTGTTTTTTAACCTTACAAGGTTTTTCTTTCTCTGGACTCCAGGGGATGTGGAAAAGGAAAGTGGTATAAATTTAACGACACAGTTATAGAAGAGTTTGACCTAAACGATGAGACCTTGGAGTACGAATGCTTTGGAGGAGAATATAGACCAAAAGTTTATGATCAAAGTAAGTGTTTACAAATTGATGTTTTCCTTTAGTTTTCTTATTTTTAATTTGTACGAAAAAACCACAAACCTGTTGCCGTCCATTCGTTTCCGACTCATAGGGACCCTATAGCACGGAGTAGAACTGCCCCCATAGGGTTTCCAAGGCTGTAATCTTTACAGAAGCAGACGGCCACATCTTTCTCCTGAGCAGCAGCTAGTGGGTTCGAACTGCTAACCTTTTGGTTAGCAGCAGAGTGTCTAACTACTGTGCCACAGACTCCTTTTTTAATTTATAAGTTTCTGTAAGTATAATCTGTTTTATTCATTTTATACTACTGCTGCTCTAGCTATAGAAGCAAGAGCTGTATTTGATGCCCAGAGTTAAATATTCAAGCTACTTAAAATTTTTTAAAAATAATTCCTCCCAAAAGCCTTAGGGGGAAAGGAAGTAAGTTAAGAAGAAGAAATAAATATCAAGGAGAAACTAATGAACAAAGAATTTCAACCTTAAAATAGTTTCAGAAGACATGGTTATGCACTAAAATTTTCAAATTTCCTTTTCATGTCTAGGGGTATGGTTAATTAGAGAAGACATTTCTAGCACATGCTTTTTTAAAACCATATCTTTGCCTTCACAACTCCCACACTCAGAAAAAAAAAAAATGTGAAGTATGTCACAAAGTCCAATCAGAACTTGCTACTTGAAAATACCACTTTGCGAAGACCTTAGCATTTCTGAAACCAACCTAAGTATGATAATTCTTGCCTGATTTTGAAATATTAAAGGGTCATTTCTAAACTTCTATCTGTATTAGACCCACTATATTAAATTGTGATACCACGTCACGGTAGTGATGCATCTAATGGTAGTAACCTTTAATGGTGGAATGTAGTATAGTTGCCAAAATTTACCAAGAAAATTTTGGCTGGTCATTGCAGAAATGGTTAAGTGAACCGATTATAATCTCATGCTGTGCCACGGAACATACTTGTAAATATTACTTGCCTTTTGCTTAAATTTTGACTTGTCTAGGAATATTTACCTTCTTTCCCTTACTGCATTACCATACAATCCCTTCACTCTCTGCCTCCCCATATCACCTTCCAAGTGAGTTGATCCATTTTATTCCTAGAACGGAGGTACCCTGACTTCTGTTCTAAGCAGTACTCTTTAAAAGCCACACGTTTTACTTAAACTTTGCATTTTATAAATTTCGTTAGTAGTTGCTTGTTGGATTTATGGACCCTTCATTTTAGATTGTCGAGACAAGAAAAACTTCCTTATTTACAAAGACTTCTTTCTGAATATTTTGTTATAAAGCAAACCCATATACTGATGTACGCCGAAGATACTGGAATGCCTATATGCTCTTCTACCAAAGGGTATCTGATCAAAACTCCCCGGTATTACCAAAGAAAAGTCGAGTCAGCGTTGTAAGACAGGAAGCTGAGGATCTGTCTCTGTAAGTTTCTCTTCGTGTATACTTTGCTGTGTGATTTCAGAAGGTGGTCTTGTAATGCTTGAGAATGTACTATTTGGGATTTAAAGGTAATCAGCTAGAGAGAAATTCTGAAAAGAAAATAAGTAAATCTAGCCGCCCCCTTTCTTTCTTCTTCTTGCTACCTGGTCATTGTTTCCTTGGCAACAAGTTATTTTGTATTTAGAAACATGCATATAAATCATTCTAGAATTAAGGTGTTTTTTCTCCTATCTAGAAATGAGATACTTAAAAATCTTGGCACCACTTGTTGAATGAATATCTTTATGTCCAAAACATAGTACTATATCAGCACTATCAGAAAGTTGTTCTTTGTCTTTAAAGGTCCTGTTATCAGTAAATTTGTATTTTAATGTATTGGATCAGGAAAGTGTACAGTTTATTTTTAAGTCCAGTACTCTGTATGAGTTTGGCAAGTTTTAGTAACTACTGAGATGATAGCTACTTCATACTAGACAGTTTTCTGATTCTGTCTCTCAGATCAGCTCCATCTTCACCAGAAATTTCACCTCAGTCATCTCCTCGGCCCCACAGGCCTAATAATGACCGGCTCTCTATTCTAACCAAGTTAGTTAAAAAAGGAGAGAAGAAAGGATTATTTGTGGAGAAAATGCCTGCTCGAATATACCAGGTAAGAACCATGTAAAAGAAATTCTTAAGGGTGAAATCCATGTAAATCTCAAAGCTCACTGCATAGGTGCACAATACTGTTGGCTTCTTGTGGATTTAGTTGGGCCCCAGTGCCCTATCCTCTTATTCAGCTTGTTTCATGAATCTTTTATACTGGGTTCCAGAGATGGCTGTTGAATTAGTGCCACACAGCGTATTAAGAGCACACATACGAATACACAACACTGGCCAGAACTATCACTGTCTTGCTGGGTGATTGTCACAAAGAAATGGGGCTGGGGGAGGGATGGACAGTAAAGAAACATGTATGCTAGAATTAACTTATTTCATCTAAAGTACAAAACAAGACTCAAAACCTTTAGGTAAGACTAATATGATAATAACCATTATTTATTGAATACCTACTTTGCTGCATACTTTAAACAAATCTGTAATTCTTAAAACACTCTTGTGCAGTAGCAGGCTTTACTCCCTTTGTTCAGATGGAAAAATTGAGTCTCAGAAAAGGAGAAATGACTGCTAGTGTCACAGACTCAGGATTTAATGTCAGACTACCCAAACAAGGCTTTATATACTGAGTAATCAAAAGCGAGGTACTTGTGAAATGGCCTTTTACAATGAGTAGCCAAACCAGAAAATTTAAGAAAAAGATGGAGTCTTTCATTAGGAAAGAGAGAGAATTAAGCTGTTTGATCCAGGGAGAGCATGGAGTTGCTTGTACTGGGAGAAACTCTGTCCCTTCTCACCCAAAATATCGGATTAGAATTCATTTGTCCTTATGGGGGTGTTCCTGAATTTCCCAAAAGCATTTGTTTTAATGAATTCACTTTTTTTTAGCTTCTTATATTTAAAAGGAAGATTTTATTCTCTCCTTTTCAAAAAATCCAAAGCATGTGGGAAGGGAATTACAGACACTAGAGCTTTGCATTTTGTTTAATGTATCACTAGAAATATCCTCCAGTTATTAAATATTTTACCCTGCTTCTTAAAAATAATTCCTAATTTTCTTTTGTAGATGGTGAGAGATGAAAACCTCAAGTTTATGAAGAATAGAGATGTGTACAGTAGTGACTATTTCAGTTTTGTTTTGTCTTTAGCTTCGTTAAATGCTGTAAGTAGCTAGTTGAATCATTACTGAAGAAATAAAAAAGGATTACAGTTAAATATCTTTCAGTTAAAACATTTGGTGACACATCCTCACCCTCAGTTTTTAACATTCAGTTTAAATGCAAAAAGAAAAAAATTCCCATAAATGCGTCAGTTATTGGGTGATTAAAATACGAGCAGTGTTCAGAGTGTATAATGTAGATTGTGATGGGTATGGGTTTCCACGTACTGGCTTTTTTTAAGTGCCCTTGTTTAGGATTTATAAAGAAGACCCCATGGAGTAGCCATGAGGTGATATCAATTGATACTGGGCTTTGCCAAGTATTTTTTTCTTGAGTACCATGATTCTTTTTAAGTTGTCAATAAAGAGAAAGCTTTTAGTCTCTTGATAGCTTACTTACCATTCTGTGGTCTAAAGGCTCTATTTTGAGAGGACCTCATAAAAGAAATGAAGAGGATATCATTTCTTAACATTTTTTTTTAACTTAAAATGAGCATTTCCTATAATGAATTGGCTAGATTTTTCTTATTAGTGTATAACTGTATCATGTCATTATTCAGTTCATAACAAGTGTAATAATAACCTATAAAACCTCTGTGAAAAAATACTCTATCTTTTCTCTCCCCTCTCTCAGACTAAATTAAAGCATCCATATTATCCTTGCATGGCAAAGGTGAGCTTACAGCTTGCCATCCAGTTCCTTTTTCAAACTTATCTACGGACAAAGAAAAAACTCAGGTGAGAAGTGATATGTTTTGGTAGTCTGTTGTGACAGAAGGCACAGATTAATTCAATTAAAGTTGAATTTACAAATTCAACTTTTTAAAACATTGTGAAGGTACCACCTAATATGCTCAGATGATTAAAGACATGGTCTATAAAGTTCTAATCTAATAAGAGAAAGACCTGGCTGGCCATCTACTTCCAGAAATCAGCCAGTGGAAACCCTATGGATCACAACAGTTCAATCGACAACCATCATGGAGATGGCTCGGGACCAGAGAGCATTTCATTCTGTTGTGCGTGGGGTTACCATGAGTCAGGGACAGACTTGGTGGCAGCTAACAACAGTCTAATAAGAAGGATAGATAAAACAAAAAAATTAACTGTGGTGCAAGGCACAAGTACTGTGGGTTTTTGGGTGTGGGCAAAATCATATCCACATATGGGGATTAGAGTAGGTGTTAAGACATTGATGTTCCCCGAGGGTTTTGAAAGGCAAAGATGGAAAAACACAGAGAGTCCGTTCTAGGTGGAGAAGAAGAACATGAGTAACAGGCGAGACTTGCCTAAGGAGCAGTGAGTGACTAGTTGTGCTTTACTACTATGTATAAGGAACTGACTTCAGGGGAGACCCGAATGTTGGGTTTAGATGAGATCATTGAGTGTCCTGAGTGCCAGAGTAGGGAGTAGGGCTTTGTGCAGTGGAGATCATGGAAGGGTTTTAAACAAGGAGACTGTGTTCACAGCAGTGCCTCAGGAGCTCTAGACCCTGATTGTGTCTTGTTCATCATTGGTTTTTATCCTCAGCACCTTGTAGGGTACCTGACACATAGGTTCAGGGTGAGGGAGACCAGTTACAGGTACAAGACCAGTGAAGTTCTCAGTCTTATCTCTCACTAGCATGGTAAACTTCTGCAAGTATGGAAAGGTTTTTGGAAAAATTCTGTACTCAAGAAACTCTTTGAGAAGAAAATGAATTTGATAGTAACTTCATTTTTATATGGAATAATTAAAGATACATTGTGATACAGGTTTTTATTATTTGATGGAAAGAGAAAAACATAATGTGTGTCTTTTAAAGTACTAGCAGAGGGTTAAATAAGGAAATTTATTTGGTTACATTTATTTGTAAAATTCACTCAAGCTGTCTACACAATGCACACTATTTCCAATTTATGTTTACCTTTCTGGGGGGTAGGGAGCCGGGGTTGTACCAGTTCATGGGTAGTATAGTCATTATATCTTTTTTCTGCCTTAATGTTTTATTCCATAAAATAGGATTAATATGGTTATAGCAGTAAGACATAATAATGTGGACATAGTAAAGGATTCTGAAAGTGAGAGTTTTATAAATGTAAATTAATTTAGCAAAACAAAATGCTACAGGTCAGACCTTTTTCCCAATTGAAATTGTTTGAGGAAGATGCAGAAGATAAAAGCGTAAAGTCTAAGACTTAAATTTCTTCACACTTTTTTTGTGAGAGAAAAAAGAATCATACCACAAGTAACCAAATAATGCAGAGCATTGGCTTCTGGGGCACGTTGAGCCATGGTGGTTAGCAGTCTTTGAGTATGTAACTTACCTCTCCTCCCTCCCCCCAAAAATAGAAAAATCAAAGTGACACTTCATAGAGTTATCCGTTGGGACCATACTTATAACATTGTTATCTCTACTTTTTTAAAGGGTTGACACTGAAGAGTGGATTGCCACTATTGAAGCATTGCTTTCAAAAAGTTTTGATGCCTGTCAGTGGCTAGTTGAATATTTTATTAGTTCTGAAGGACGAGAGTTAATAAAGTAAGTGTTGAGATCTTTTAAAGAAATTTTAGTTTCTTCTAGTGATTTAAAGCTGAGTTTGTTGTAACCCTTTTTGTTTCAACTTGAAATTATTGTTCTGATTGTTTGCAATGGGAAACTTATACAGGTCACTCCAAAATCATTCATTCCAAAACCATCTCTATTGGACTAGACTCAGACAAGTGTTCATCAAGTACAAGGAGAGCATGTGAGGCAGATAGTCACGTGCTCACTAGCAAGCATGTCCTGAACCCTGCTATAGCTCAGGGGATTCAGAAATGCAAGTCCCTTCCCTCAGGGACTCACAGTCTGGTGCAAGTTAGAGAGGTAAACAGCCCTAGTTTACTACACAGTCCACAGTATTGTCTCTGTTTGGATTCTGGCTAAAAAATTATATGTACTTTTAAAAAATATACTCCGTATTTACCTATGACCTATAATAAAAAAAAATAATTTGCTTGTTCTGGTAAAAATTCTAGTTACTCCAGTCACTAAGAGTATTTATTCCTGATTCCCAATCATGCTTACCAAGTCAACTTCTCTTATCCTCAGGGTTCATCATCGAGCATATAGGAGCCCAGCAGGTGCCTTGATTTCTCTGTGTCCTGTGTCCTTATCCCTGGCCATCTCTTCTTTCAGCTACTGGGGATACATCGCCCAGTATCCTTCTCCTGACCTTGTTATCACCCATCCTTCCAGTCCACTGGCACTTGTCAAAAATGTCATTTTACCATTGAGTTTGTACAAATCAGGATCCAAATGAGGTTTATACAATGCATTTGGTTTATATGTCTCTTAAGACTTTTAATCTGTAATGGTTCCTCTTTCCTACCGCCCCCTTGTTTGTTGTGCCATCTGTTTTGGGTGGAAACTGGTCATTTGTCCTGTAGAACTTTGATATTCGGGGTTGGTTTGCATTCTCATGATGCCTCCTTCTGGAATATGATAGGAAATGGGTAGCACCCCCTATGGGTATACTTTCCAGAAGAATTGTACCTGAATCTGACCAAGCCTCCAGAGCTGAATATTAGGGGAGTACATGTTATCGTTTAAACTGTTCTATAGTTGCCACTTAGACTCTTAGTGGATTTTTCACAGAGCCTATCTGTCTGGTTCAAATTAGGTTAAGGGAGCTAATAAACAGCACCAACAATTACATGGAGTGACTTCAGAAGGCTTCACTTTCATCTTCCTATTGGAAGAGAGCAGAGTTGTCAGCATGCTCTTGACAGGGGAGGAAGGAAATGCAGATGCTGCACCCAAACCAGCAGAGACAAGAGCAGATTTCCCTGCTGTCTCCTGAGAGGAGTGCCTCTGGACAACTCTGACTTGGGTCATCAAAATTATGTTGTGTTTAAGTCTTCCACATGAAATAATGAGAATTTTCTGTCAGGAAATGTCAGCAATGATAGATGCATTTTCACTTTGCCGATTATGATATTGGTTGGCACATCAAAGTCAGTGTATGAAACAGAGAAAGAGAAAAGCTATGCCCGTTACCTACTTGCTCCCGGGTCATTACCATCGTGATGCAGCCCCAGAGACCAGCTGTTTCTGCCTAACCATGCCCTCCACTACATCTAAGACTGCCTTGTCTATCAAGTGGGAATACTGATAGAGCCCACCTCACAGGTTGTTTTAAGAATTGAGTTAGATAATGCATATCCAGCGATTGTTACTGTAACACTACAAGTGCCTAATAAATGTCCACTGTGATGATGATGATAGAAGAAGAACAGAAGGAATAAGGATCTTTTCTATCACAAATGCTCCTATTATTTGTTGCTAAGTAATAAGTAAGGGTTTGCGTGGGGGTGAGGAGAGGAAAGTAAAAGGATAAAAATATAGGTGAAAAGGGGGATCACCAGGTGCTATCTGGTCTCAAAACTGTAACTAGTATCTTATTCTGAGAAATTGAAGATGTGTCAAATCTACTCCTGAATTTACAGAATTTATAAAATGTTAGGTTCTTTGCCTTCGTATACCTTCAAATCCAGATTTACATTTATACAGATGTTCATTTTAGCGGGGGAAGAGAGAAGAAGCAAAACGTATCCACTTTTCACTGTTCAAGGTTCTGGTTTACTGTTTGGACTTCCTCCTTCGTGGTGGCCCATGAGCGTGTACTAACGTTCTCAGAACACTTGAGCTAAGGCCTTGTAGTAACTTTGTTTCTTGGACATTCGCTGGGACCTGTGATGGAAAGGTTGGAATTAATAGAAATCTGTCTTGCTTTTTGATACCATATTTCTCTTTACTTTAGGATTTTCTTGTTGGAGTGCAGTGTGAGAGAAGTACGAGTTGCTGTAGCCACCATTCTGGAGAAAACTCTAGATAGTGCCTTGTTGTATCAGGATGAGGTCAGTCTTGTTTTTAAATCTTACATATATATGCATCCTGTTTAAATGGACGTAGTAAGAAACAACGTCTAGGATTGGAGTCTGGTAAATTTGCCACATAAAATGCACTGACTTTCTGATAATCCCAGGGTAGAAGGCATGCTGTCCCTTCCTCCTCATATCCCAGGAACCAGGGTAGGCTAGGATTTTAGGTCTGCTTTGATCTGCTTCAGGATTTTCTCTCTAGAACATCCTGTTTTCAGAGCTCTCTCTCAGGAGTTTGTATTAGATCTCTCTGAACTGAGACTAACCTGAGCCTACCAACAGATATTTTGAGCCACCCCTGGCTTTCTCTTTTTCTTGTAAGCTATTTCGCTGATCCAACTTGCAGTTGGTAACCATACTGCATAGTGTCCTTCATCCAGGGGCATTAGCCAAACAGTTGCTTCATGGATCTCTTTTATTCCCCAACCTTTATTTCTATTCCTCTAAATTTCTTCTTCCTAACCCTATTTTCTGCAACATATTTTCTGGTTCACAGTTCCACATACACACATGCTAAAACAAACCACGGTATATATAGCCATCCTCACTCCCTAAAGATGTAAAGTCTTAGGGAAATAAATGACATACATTTTAAGTGTGATCTTTCAGTATGTTATTAAGCCTTAGCAAACACAGCAGTTACTTCCCAAGTTTGCTGTTTCAAACAGCTGACACTACATGGAAAACTTTGAAAAATGTTATTTTCAGAACAATTGGCTCTTTGTAAATATTGGCTGGAGGCAGTGTGTCTCGATGAACTAAATTCAGTTCTAGGAATTGCTGCTTCAAATTCAGATTTTGGCTTTGCTGTGCAACCTTGAGCAAGTCCTTTCAGGAGGACATTGTCCAGATGTAGTGCCTGATACTGAAGCACTTACTTCCTGCAGCATTACCTGGCCCAGGATGTGCTGTTAGTCCAGACAAGCTCAAGAACTTTGCTCAGTCCAGGAGGTCAAATATGCCATTTAGGAAGGACCTAGAAGAAGACTGTCTATCAATTTCAGGAATCAGGAGGAAGTTGAGGTTTACTCGAAGGCAGTGTTTTTAAACAGCAGAACCATTTTTCAAGCAAACCTTACCTGGATGCAGAATACATAGTACAGGTCACTGGGAGCTGCTCTAGGTCAGGTCAGGGTGGGATGTGCAGCCCTGCCTTCACAGGAACCTGTGGACAGTTTGAATACCATTGTTGTGAGATACTTTTATGGCAGCATTTCTAAGCTGCATCAAGATTACTTAACATAAGGACCTTCCTCCTCCCTGCTGCTTCTCCCAAACAAAGGATGAAGGCAGAATTAGTGCAGTCTCCCTAAGGATGGGGTCAGGCCATAACATATCACCCCACCAACCTCTAAAGGCAGGACTGCAGGTGGTAGAAAGGGAAGGGAGTGGAGGACATAAGCATGGAAGCAGTTTGCCTCAGTAAATTTTATTTGATATCCAGCTGATGTATTTTATGCCTTTTTTCCCCCTCCATAATGGAAATAGTGCCTCTTGCCCCCACTTTAGATTGTAAAGTACTTTGAAAATGAAGTGCTATATAAATCCTAACTTTTACTGTATTTATATTGGATGTGACAGGGAGGCTGGGAATATTTCAAAAGTCCGTAACTACATCTTCAGAGGGAGTTGAACTAATAAGAGTAGTAAGTCTGGTCTTAATTCTCAGATCACAGATGAATTTATAGGGACTTGTCCAAAAACATAGTTGGGGTGGGAGGAAAAGAAGAGCAATGTGATAACCAAAATGGTTTCTAAACAAATAAAATGTTTTTCAAAGCTTTCCATGAGGCATCAGCGGGCTTTCAAGTAAGTTCACAGTTGAGTCGATATTACCGTTGTCATTCTGTCAGGCTGTTGCTCTCCATTTGCTCCATTGGCTTGATTTCTAGCCCCTATGCCTGTGTCTGTGTTTTTATTCTTTGCATCTGTGATTATGTGAAGAAGCAGCATAGTGGAGGGAGGGATTCAGAAATACGTCTCCCCTAAACCCCCTGCCTTTTTTTAAGACACAGAATTTGACTCTGGAGAAAATGTTACCATTAGGCAGTAGAATCATGCCCTTGACTCTGAACTCTAGGAAACAAAACTAGGCTTTCCTTTTATTAATTATGTCAGCAATACCAGTCTTTCCCTGAAAGGTAAAACCGATAATTCTGTATTTGCTCTCCAATACATAAATCCATCTGAATCTGAGACTGGATTGTATCAATCTGACTTTGCTTTTGTTCTCTTGGTGGTTTATTGCAAATTAATACTGTTACAAATGTCTTTCTTAGACTCTTTTTCTTCATGTAATTTCATCTTTCCTCTAACCAGTTAAAAAGCCTTCACCAGTTACTGGAGGTACTACTAGCTCTGTTGGATAAAGATGTTCCAGAAAATTGTAAAAACTGTGCTCAGTACTTTTTCCTCTTCAACACTTTTGTACAAAAGGTAAATGATTTTTTTTCTAATGTCATTTCCTAATACATGCTAAGTTTCACTGTATTTATAATGGATGTGAAGGAAAGAAATCCACCTTTCAGTGTTCAAGGTTCATGTTTTACTGTTCGGATTTATAGTCTAAAAGAGAAAAATGGCAAAGAATTTTAGACATGGAAAAATGACCAATATAGGATCTGGTCAATAAAGGATCTGTATGATATGGTTTTATGAGCATTCTTTAAAATCTTAATTTGTGCATTGCATTACTTGCAAGAATTCTGATACAGGTAGGTATAGTTACTCATTGATAATAGTAGGAGACTGCATTTAAACTAGTGGCTAATCGTATTTTTGGTAGTCATTCAAAGCAATGTGAGGCTGTGGGAACTCAGGAGTTTTTTAAATTAGATTTTAGTAAGTGCCTTCTTTATGTAACTCACAGCATTTAAAAAATATATTGACTCTTTAATACTTCTCATTTAACTGTGTTTTTAAAACAGATTTTTGTCTGGATAGGAATATAATTTGTCATTCTCAATATCTTATGACAGCAAGGTATTAGGGCTGGAGATCTCCTCCTGAGGCATTCCGCTCTGCGGCACATGATCAGCTTTCTCCTAGGGGCCAATCGGCAAAACAATCAGGTAATGACTGCTTCTAGAATCCTAGTGAACTTAGCCATGGTTTTCATAGCCACTTTGTTTCCCATTGTAGGTGGTCGATACTGTTACTTTAATTTCATAAGAGTCCGTGTACTAGTACTACATATATTTTAAAATTCTTTGGAGTTCAGTTATTTTTACAACTTCTTCATAGAATTTAGTCTAATAATAACCCATGGAAATGAGTGACTGGATCAAAGTGCGAAATGCTGAGTCCAATAGGAGGGAAAGATGGATTCTGCCTGGTGGCTTAGAAGCAAGGAATAGGCAGCTTTGGGGAGCTCCACTTCTCCTTATGGGCTGTGAACAAGGCTCTTTTGATGCTGATACCAAGGCTGGAATTCAAATGTGAAGTTATACCCTTATAAGTGGAATGATATCATTGCCAAGTAGAACACCCTCTTTCAGGAAATGAAAGGGAAGTTGTTTTATAATAAAAGGGCTGGAGATCTATATCAAAAAATGACTCTCTTTTGAAGTTCCTGTTGGTTTGTTTCCCATTGATTTCCTTTTTTTTTTTTTTTTTTGATAGATTTGAAATACACAAAATGTTAACATGTAGTAATGATAAGCACTATAATGGAGAACCTATTATATGCCAGACACAGCTAGTCACTTTATATGCCATACTTCTGATAGTTCAGTAAAGTAGGCAGTTTCCTCCCTATGTACAGGCAAGAAATAAAGCACAGAGAAGTTAAATAACTTTTTCAGGGTTACAAAGCTCTGGTGATTTCAAAGCCTGAGTGAAATCTGTATGTATTCCTGTATGTAATGCATTGCGAGGACAAGGTTTTCCCTCACTCTTCCCTTTCTTTATTAAGGGAGATGGGCTTGCTAGGTAGGCCTCTTCTCAGTTTCCTATCATATCACTGTGCTGCTCTTACTCTTCAGTATTAAAAAACCAGTACTGACGCAGTAACATGCTCTGTGTGTTAATATTATGTCAAGATTTGCAGTAGCCAGTTTTCACATCAAGCTCTTTTGTATCAGTTGTGTCTCCATTGACTCTGATGATTGATTTAAACTCACTGTAATTCAGCTGCACATATAATTAATATTGTCTTGCATTTATGAAGCACATTTTTACTTTTGAGAACGTTCTCATTTTTAGTATTTGATCCTCACAACCACAAAGTAGGCAGAACAGGTAGCGTTATCGTTTCTGTCGTATGAAGAGATGACACACTGTTATGGGAAAAACTTACCCACGTTGATACAGCACAGTATGTGGTAAGGCAGGGCCAGGCCTCCAGATCTCCAGCTCCACGGACTTTTCCCATTTATACTAAGGAACAGGAAAACTACCTGGCACATTGATACATAAAATGAATACATGGATGGATTTGATTTAGAATATGAATAAATATGTCTAGAGGAAAAACATTTGAGCTAGCTTTACACCCGTGTGACTTTGTTTTTTACTTTGACCTCTTCTGTCACACTTTGAGAAATATTTATGGCCCAAAGATACCATGAACCAGCAAATGCTCTCCTTTTTCATGTTATCTCTAACCAAAACACTAACGGCTAGCTTCTCTGATACCAGATACGTCGATGGAGTTCAGCACAAGCCCGAGAATTTGGGAATCTTCACAACACAGTGGCATTACTGGTTTTGCATTCGGATGTCTCTTCCCAAAGGAATGTTGGTAAGTTTTAATACCTTTAATACACCAGAAAGGTAAAGAGGTACCAAATTTATCTAGCATGGAAAGTAATCATGTTAGCAATTAAATAGATATTACTTGTTTCTAGCTTGGCTACCTGATGTGTGAGGAGCACTTTTTAAAAGTTTTTGTTTTAATTCATGTTAAACTTCACCTTATTTATTAATTTGTCACATTGGATAGAGAAAGTGAATCAATCATTTATCGAGGGAGGGAGTTACATAAATATTTTACAAAAAAACAACTCTAGGATTAAAAGCTAATTCAAAGTCCATTCATCACTATAATTGGCATAACTGATTTAGTATGGGGAAATAGCCAAGGGGTGGGTTGGAGCCTCCTAGCCATGTGAACTTGACCCAGCTTGACCTGATCTTTCTAATCAGTACAAAATGGGAATATTAAAAACATAGCCCCCCCACAGGAGTAGTAACGATTAATGAGATACACTGTTATTAAAGTACTTTGTAAAAACAAAGACAATTTGGATATAAGCTGTGTCACTGAAATATCTTTGAATATAACATGTAGTTAGTAGCATTTTCTATTTTGCCACCCAGAAGCAATAGCACAGTCATCATTTAATATAGCAAAGACATAAATTGTCCCTATATGGTTATCCTATATCCTGCCCATGGAAGCAGCAGTCAAGAAATCAAACAACATATTGCACTGGGCAAATCTGCTGCAAAAGACCACTTTAAAGTGTTAAAAAGCAAAGATATCACTTTGAAGACTGAGGTGCACCTGACCCAAGCCATGGTATTTTCAGTCACCTCATATGCATGCAAAAGCTGGACAGTAAATAAGAAAACCAAAGAAGAATTGATGCCTTTGAATTATGGTGTTGGTGAAGAATATTGAATATACCATGAACTCCCAGAAGAACGAACAAATCTGTCTTGGAAGAAGTACAGCCAGAATGCTCCTTAGAAACAAGAATGATGAGACTTTGTCTCACATACTTTGGACATGTTATCAGGAGAGACCAGTCCCTGGAGAAGGACATCATGCTTGGTAAAGCAGAGGGTCAGCAGAAAAGAGGAGTACCCTCAACGAAATGGATTGACACAGTGGCTGCAACGATGAGCTCAAGCATAGCAATGATTGTGAGGATGGTACAGGACCAGGCAGTGTTTCATTCTGTTGTACATAGGGTCGCTATGAGTTGGAACCGACTCGATGGCACCTAACAACACCAGAAAATATCCTGACCTTTTTGTATACTGTGTTGTTATATTGTTCCTCAGCTTTGTCGTGACAGTACCAACAACAACAGTAATAACAGAACAACAAAACAGCTGAGATTTATTCAGTGCTTCCTTTGTGCTATGCCTTTATATGGTGCTTTAAATTTATTGTGTTTAATCCTCACAGCAACCCTACAGAGGGATATTATCCCTATCAAAAATGAGGAAACTAAGATACAGAGAGTTTTAGTACGTTCTGCCAGGTCTCACAGCTAGTTAATGGCATAGCAGCCAGTATGAGAATACAAGCAGCCTGAGCCCCGAGCCTGTGCTCTCATCCCCTCTACCCCACTGCTTCCCCTGTGGTAGGGTTTTAATGTCCACTGGACAGAAAGATCCAGAGGCACGAGACTAAAGATCACAGAGCATCACTCTGATCTAGAAATGCTTATGAACTCTCTGAAGGAACATTATGGGGTGGGGGCACTCCCAAACTCTTGACTCATTTATCCAGAAAGACAAAGCTACTTAATTTGTGAATTCAGACAGGTTTGTAAAAGAAAATTAGAGTATAGCTCCTTGTTTTTCTAGCAAATGGTGTAATTCCTTCCATATAGCTTGATTCTGCTTGGCATAGGTTGTGCTAGCCATTATTTGAGGATGGTTGTTTGAGGAAGAAACTGAATTGGTCCAGTGTCTCTCCAGAGGAAGCCTTGGGCATTTTATTCATACGCTATTTATATTTTTACCTCTTTGAAAGATTGTCTTGGGTGGGGGACAGCAGAAATGTAGAGAGATTGATAGTCGCACCTACAGTTTAGACATACACTGAGAAAACAGGTAAACATTTTCTCTTGTCTGCATGTCTGGCTTTCCCACTAAACTATGAGGGATCGGGTCTTCAGTATTCAGCAATTGTGTATGAATTGTGTATGAATCTTGAGAGAGTCACATTACCTTCTGGATGTTTATTTTATGAAAAAATACCAAGTGAGACTGATTTGTTTAGTGTTTTCTTTCTTTGGTCTCCTAAAGCTCCTGGTATATTTAAACAACGGACGCCCATTAGCATTGCTCCCTCCAGCCCTCTGTTGCACCTCCACGAGGAAGTAGAAGCTTTGTTGTTCTTGTCTGAAGGGAAGCCTTACCTGTTAGAGGTATGTACTTGTTACGCCGCTTTCATTTTATTTATTTTCTTGTATTTGGGAAAAATGCCCTTTGTTACTTTATTTTGCGTGTTACTCTAATGAAGAGTATTGTGTGGCCCAGCCTCAATCTGAGTCCCTTCCCCTTCCTCCTAGAGCTACCCTCTCTTGTGAATTGAATCTTTTGATCCTTTGTCTATTACTTAATTTTCATCTGTATGAATATATGAACGCTATATCATACTGGTTTTTAAAACTACATCCACAGGGCTGTGCTGTATACTTGTCTTTTTTCCCCCCTCTAACTCAACATTATGTGCTTTTTCTGAATCTATCTGTGATTACAGGCAGTCCCTGGGTTACGGAATCCCCAGGTTACGAATTTATGTACATCACATATGTACAACCAGTAGTTACAAACCAACCCCCATAAAGCCATTGTATTAAAAACATGAGATACATACAATGGCTCGTAATAACCAATAGGTGCTACTTTGTGACACGCACCAAAACACTATTATTACTGTATTACTATGTTAAGCATGTTTTTAGTGTATCTGGAAGTGTTTCTTTTATGTCTTTTATGCACAGAAAGGTACACTGTATACTATATTATATATATACTAACACGAACATTTGATTAACTATGTTAGATATGAACCATACCTGTTCCGACTTAACGTACAAATTCAAATTAAAAACAGACGTAGGAATGGAACTCATTCGTAATCTGGGGACTGCCTGAACTTTAATCTCTCAGGGTATTTGCTTTTGAAAATCTGATGAAAGTGATTCTCTCCCGAAAAGAAGGTACACATTTCCACAAAATCATGTTAAATTTCAGAAAGGCTCAGATACCCTGAAATTTATGCATAGGCCTTTAGCAGTTAAGAAACGCTATTTGAGATAATGTTGGTGATACTGGGTAAATTTCAGTTAAAGCCAGTAACCACAGATTGTCTTTTAACTGTTGACTTGAGGAAAGTTACTCTGTTTGTATCTCCCTCTAGGTGATGTTCGCTTTGCGAGAGCTGACAGGCTCGCTCTTGGCCCTCATTGAGATGGTGGTGTACTGCTGTTTCTGTAATGAACATTTTTCCTTCACTATGCTGCACTTCATTAAGGTAAGACCTCAGTTAAACCTAGTGATAGCCTGCTAGCCCTCGGTTGAGGCTCTAGGAGAGCATTCCTTTGTTCCCAGGCAATATACTTCTTAATAGCCTTAATTGTTTTTCCTAATCGTAAAAAATAGTATCGCCTTCTTTTAGAAAATACAGGGAAATAAATGAAGAATTAAAAAAAGAACTCATCCCACCATTCATTGATAATCACCATGAACGTTCCCTTATGTTTCCCGTTTATTCCCTATGCTTGTATTTTAACATAATTGGAATTTTATTGTCTTTGTGATTTTGTATCTTTTCACTTAAGATTAAAATAAGGATTTCCTCATATAACTAAAAGTTATCTGGTTACTGTTTCATCCTCTCACGTACTATATACGTAACCATTCCTTTCCTAGTGATGTACATTTGCATTATGTTCATTGTTTAACTATTAAGAATAAAAGTTAATAATGCTGTGATGGCCATTATTATGCAAAAATGGTTTTTTTCCCAATTTCTCATTATTCCCTAGGCAACATCTTAAAAATCAAAGGTAGTTTTTTCCCACTTTCTGAAATAGTGATATAGTTGATTATGAAGCTTTGATTATTATAAAACCCGTTGCTATCAAGATGATTGTGCCTAATAGTGACCCTGTAGGACAGAGTAGAACTGTCCCATAGGGTTTCCAAAGCTGTAATCTTTACAGAAGCAGACTGCCTCATCTATCTCCCACAGAGCAGCTGGTGGATTCGAACTGCTGACCTTTCAATTAGCAGCTGACCGTTTAACCACTGAGCCACCAGGGCTCCTTTTTTTATTGATATAGTAATTACTGTTACTTACATTGCACTTACTGGGTGCCAAGCACCGTTCCAAGCATATTAATATTGAACTTACTTAATTCTCAAGTGGTCTTAGAGGTGGATAACATTCTCACTACCATTTTACAGTTGAAAAAGAACTGAGGCACAGAGTTAGTGACTTGCCCAAGACCACACAACTATTAAGTGGCAGAGTGGATATTTAAACCTGGCACTCTGGCTCCAGGGCCCATCCTCTTAATCTTACTGTTGACTACCTTTTTAGGTATTACTAGAAATACCTTTAAACCTCATTGTTATTACTTTTTTTTTATCATTGTTATTCCTTTTTAATCTTCATTTTTAATTACTTGGATAGATATTATTATATTCTGTTTGTCAAAAATTAAAACATACGAAGTCCACTTTGACTACCACCAACCAGTCTTACCTGTCTTCTCCATCCTGCTCCAGGGACCAACATTGTCACGTTGTATGCTTCCTTCTGGGCTTCTCTCTGAATTTATACCATATGTGTTAGTTTGTGCCCACAGTTTCTACCATACCTTCTTACCTGCCCCAGTATTTATAATGATGGGACATCTAGTATTAACAGAGGAGCTGGTGATCAGTGGACTGTGTTTGTAGGTTCTTATTAAAATTATTCTGCCCTCAGCCTTTTCTGTACAGAGCTGTATCAGAGGTAACTAATCACCTCAGTGTACTGTTTACTAGTTATCTGGTCTTGGGCAGTTTCTTCCTCTGCAAAATGGGAGGAAATGTTACTTGACTTCCCAGGTTGTAAGGATTCAGTGAGGTATTATATGGAATGTGCTTACTTAGTACTGTACCTGGCACCTTGGAAGTATGTATTATAACATGATGCCCTTTTCTACTATATATGTGTATAAATTTTATTACAGTACACAAAGGATTGTGAGTTTTATAACCTTACTTTCTTCACTTAGTGTATCTAGGGAGATTTTTCTATTTCATAAGCTGACTTTTTATGCACTTCTCTTATAGCATACTTACCTCAGAGCCTTCTCATTTGCATTCTCATAGCTGCAGCAGCCTTTTCTGGAACATAATAGGATATATATAAATAAAATATAAATATAAAGTTGGATCTGTTTAGTGACTTACAATTCTCCCCTTTCTTTTCTTCCTTTCTTTCTCCCTCCTTATTCATAATTTCATAGTAGAGTATCACAGAGTATTGCAGCTGGAAGGGTCCTTAGAGATTGTTTATTTCAGTCCCTGGATTTGGCATTTGGGGAAACTGAAGCCCAGAGAGGGAGATTGACTTGCCCAAGGTCAGCCAGATAGCCGTGGAACTAGAGCTTGGTCCAAGGTTATTGATTCTTATTCCATTGTGCTTTCTACTAAAGATTTAAGTGGAATTTTTATGCTTTTAAAAAAATATTTCAGAACCAACTGGAAACAGCTCCACCCCATGAATTAAAGAATACGTTCCAACTACTTCATGAGATTTTGGTAAGTCATAGTGTTCTGATTCACTTATTTAGATATGTATTAATAATCATATGTTTGTAAGTAAAAAGTCATGTGTCCTTTTTATTGTTTTTCCATTCATTTGGTCTGCGTTTGTTGCGTCCCCATAGAGATCAGTCAATATGCTTTGTGCTTTATTGATTTAGAGGTAAGCTTAATAAAATTGTACCTCATAGGAACTCACAGCTTAGTGAGGGAGCCAGACAAGAACACAAGCAATTACAGTGCAGAGAATGAAGGCGTAATAAGTGATGGTTGATCTTTACTGCGACCTAAGTATGGATAAGGCACTGTGCTACCCACAATATTATGTCATTTAAACCTCATGCTAACCCTCAGAGATAAATACCAGCTCTGTGGTTTATCAGATCTAAGACACCGTGATTAGATAAAGCACAGTTATTTAATATACTACTAAAAAAAATTATTAAAACCATTAAACTGTAAAATGTAATCTTACAGTTGTAAGATGCATCCCAATTTCAGAGATTTGAAAAGCAGGGGGAGGAAGTCAGTTCAAATCAGTGAAATACACTATTATTGGAAACAGACAGCGAAGTAGAGTGATTTTCCCCAAACTACCTGGTAATAAGCAGCGGAGCCAGGATCTGAGCCCAGCAACTGGCTCTAGAGCCCATGGTCTCCACCAAAACGCTGAGGAGCTGAGTGAATTGTAAGTAAATGGTATGACTAGAAGAAAGAGTGAGAGCTGGCTTGAATTTGGGAAAAGAAACTCCAGACCAGATCACGAAGGACTTCAGGTACCAATGCTTAGGCCTGTGGACTTTTGCTATAGGCCAGTGGTCCTGATGGCCACATTCAAGCCTATAGGCTTGTTTTGTTTGGCCTACATTCTATTTTTCTTGGTTTCTGAATTCCAGCCTGTCCTGAAAACTCAGGCAAATCTGGCCATATTGGTCCTGTTTCCTGTATGCCACAGTCAGCCAAAGCAGTAGCAGTGTGTTCTCTCTGAATGAGGCATGTGGTCTCCAACTCCCCACTCTCCTCAGTACCCCTTATTTTCTGATACCTCACCAACATTGCTCATTTTGGTTGTCTCCCTGGTCTCTGTAGGCATTTAAACCCCTGCCATCAGTGATGGGGAACCATGGAAGGGTTTTAAGCTGGAGAGTGACATGACCCAATTTATGCTTTAGAAAGATCCCTCTGAAGGAATCTCTGAAAGGCGGGCTAAAGAAGGAAGCAAGATTGGGAATTGGGAGACCACATACGTGTCCATGGCAATAATATGAACAAGAAATAAAAGGGCTTGCACTACAGAAGAGGCAGCAGGGATGGAAAGACCTAGAAGTGTTTTGGAAAGTGAATCAAAAAAAGTTTTGTATTGGTTATTACAAATTAATGAGAGAGACTAGCCCAGAAGCTCCTTAAAGAGAGAGTCAGGGACTATGTTCCCTGTAGATCCCAAATACTTAATATAGATCTTGGCACAGAATAGGCATTTAATAAACGCTTCTGAATAAGGAAATCCATCAGCATGCCATTTATTAAAAAAAGCTTCTCTTTCTGGTCCTTTACCTCCTTTCGGTCCTAGTGCTTTTACAAACTTTGAAGATTATTAGTTCTCAGGGGCAGGACTGTATTATTCATCTGATCAACAACAAACTCACATAGTTTGCTGTACTGTGCACAATTAATTGTCAGGCACTAGAAAAATAGCGATGAGTAAGACATAGATCCAGCCCTTCACATCAACTTGTAAAGCCTGTAATAAAGCAAAACTTTAACACATTTTTAGTAAATAAGTTAAACCATAAACCTCTTATCCTTAGGATCATTAAATATACTTCTTTGTAACCCACAGAGAACTGTAGATGGAGTTGATGATACATAAAGATAGGAAATGGTCAGATCTTTAAATATTACTTAATGGTTTTTCATCTTTAATTTAAAATTTAAGATATTTTTAAGGTATATGGCAGTGACATATTTGTTTGTATTGAGTTTTTTAAGTTAAAAACTAAATCAACCTCTTGAATAGAATTATAAAAAAGCACCGGTGGCTATAACATATGTTCCTCCTTTCATTTACCAACCTTTGCTTCCTTCCTTTCACAGGTCATTGAAGATCCCATACAAGTAGAACGAGTCAAATTTGTGTTCGAGACGGAAAATGGATTACTAGGCAAGTACGCCTGGCCCACATAGAAATGGCAGTGGTGAATATGTAGATCCGCCGTTGTTTTAGCCAGTCTCTTCACTGGCAGGTCTGCTTCCTGCCGTTCTTCCCTGGCTTAGATCAGTGAATAGTGTATCAGAAGTCTTGTCAGGGCCATTGGATTCCCACATTCTAGTCAGAAGAATTAAAGCCACACAGGATCTTATCACCCTGGACTCTTCCACTTTTCATCAGCAAGGTGCACCTTGGGGTCCTTTTAGGTGGTCATACAAAATTTCAAGGGTCATGTGTCTTTTTTCAGTAAGCTAAAGGCCCCTTTGTGATTCAGGAAACCTGCCATTTCACTCTGCAACCATTAGGAAGGAAAAAACCTAAAACCATAGACTCAGGATGTTGCCCAGCACATGAAATGTGATTATCTCTTTACCTGTGGTATGAATTTACCCAAATTTTCATTGTCTGCTCATTAAAGTATGTTGGCAGGGCTTTCCTTTTCAGAAGGCTAAGTTGGCTTTAATGAGCTATTTATTAGAAAAGGTTTGGTTAAAAAAAAATGTTATCCAACTCCCTCCATCCACCTGCATTTCCAGTTAATCTGAGTCATTTTAGATTTTGTTATGAATTAAGAGATTTAGGACCCTCCTATATTACAAAGGAGCCCTGATGGTGCAGGGGTTAAGAGCTCAGATTGCTAACCAAAAGGTTGGCAGTTCAAACCCACCAGCCATTCTGTGGGAGAAAGATGTGGCAGTCTGCTTCTATAAAGATTTACAGCCTTGGAAACCCTATAGGGTCGCTATGAGTCAGAATTGACTCAACAGCAGTGGGTTTGGTTTGGTATATTGCATAAGAGACTTAAGCTAAAAAAAAAATTCTCTAGCTACATCTTTTCAGGCCACCCCTTTTGGAATGGTGCACTCAGAGCAGCACCTAGGCTCCCGAAAAGTGTGAACTGTAAACTCAAGAGCACAGACAAGTCTTACTTATCTGTAAATCTTTGAAGCACAGAGCAGGGGCTCAGGAAATACATGTTGAACTAAACTAATACGATAATTTTCCATCTGTCAGACTGAAGTGCTGTAACTACTGTTCTCTCGGTAGCATGATGTGTGGATAAGTTTGGAGGTCTGTAGGTGAATAATCAGCCAGTATAAATTTTAGTTCCTTTTCAGTTCCCCTAGAAGTGAAACTTTCACCACCCGGGATATTTTTGAATACTATTTAAAGTAGTGTTTCTACCTGTTAGAATTTGGGGGATCCTATTGAGTTAAGCACCACCATGCTTTGAGTTGTTCTTATCTGCTTATCAATATAATTCATAAATTTTCAGAACAACAACAGAGCTTGTTATTATTTAGACCCGCTTTCCGTTTAGTGCTTTATTGTTAAAATTTTGTCTTCTCTTCCCTTAGCTTTGATGCACCACAGTAATCACGTGGACAGTAGTCGCTGCTACCAGTGTGTCAAGTTTCTTGTAACTCTTGCTCAAAAGTAAGTACTGGCTTGAAATGCAGGGAAGAAATGCTGTTTGAGTTACAAATCAAATACAAATGGAAAAAATTCTACCTTGTTTTATGACCCTGAAGAGTCTGACTCAGGTCGTGTTTGCTTGGAAGGTACAGAAAGATAGTCAAATGATCACAAAAGGGATGAAGACGAGTATCAAGAGAATAGCAGACCTTGTGGAATTCAAGAAAAAAAGCTAAACAGCCAGGCTGTATGTAGGGAAGGCAGGAATCAAAGCAGATCTGGGGACTTTACAATAAGAGTTCACGAACCTTCACTCAAGGCCTCTTTTGTTATTGAAAGAGTCACTAACTCTTTCAGACTCTAGGTCCCCAATTTCAAAATAGTCTCTCAAGAGAAAAAATCTTGTTACCTCCACCTATGGAGCACTTATGAACCCAGGCATTGTGCTAAGGACTTGTCCTATCTCATATAATCTTTGCAACAACCTTATGAGGTTACGTATTGTCATTAGTCCCATATCACAGGTGGTTTAAGTGACATGCCTAGAATCATAGAGGTAGTATCTGAGCACAGGTTGGTTGACTTCAAAGTGAAGGTTTTTGATATTAGAAGGAACGTTTGTGGTTAGCTAGTTCAACTCCCTTATCTTGAACATAGGCAAACAAAAAAACAGGGCTGTGTGATAACCCAAGGTTATCGAGCAGACTACATTATCATCATGGACTCTTTCACCAGGCCTTCTTTAGAGGTTAATTTATTCTGCTTCAGATGTTTGCCTGTTCTTAGGCATGGGAATTGCCATCCTTAAACTTGTTCCAAAATAAGAACGAGAAATCTGTTGGGTTAGATCTGCTACATTTGAGCTTTCTAAACAGATATAAATTAAAGCTCATTTGAGATAATGCATGAACATGTCCACATGACATAGTAGTGTGGACACAGATGACTGTCATCCTACCACAATTGTGGGTTCATTAATTAGGCTTGATATTAGCAGCATGTCATCTTAAATATTTGCCTAAAGAGTGACATTTCTAAGTAGTGTTAGGGCCAGATGGCATATCTGATACCAGTAAATAGTCAGTTCAGATATCAAAGATAATATTCAAAAACCAAAGAATTCTTCATGTGCACATCTATATCCATCACACATCCATCTTATACACACATTAATGGCAATATTACCCTCAGTATTCTTCAGATGTGAAGAACAGCTTTCTAGATATGCAAATAAAAATGGAGGGGGGGCTCCAAGGCGATGCGTTAAAAATGTTTTCCCCATAATTTCATTCCTTTGTTATCATTCAAGTTACAAGAATTAAAGACTAGTTTTACTATATCCAAGGAGTTCTTTATTAAGTATACAACAATTTGTTGTGGATTTTTTGTTCTGTTTTGTTTTTCATTTTCCAACTTTGAATTTTAATAGAACTGAATCTGGAAGTGAGAGAGAGATGAGAGACTTTTCACCACATACTTACCTTTTAGTGCCATTTGAAGAGTAAACCCTTGAATGTATTACCTGTCCAAACAAAAGAAGAGTAAAAATTTAATGTAAACATAACTGAGTTTTAGTGAAAATAGTATGCATTTCAACATAAAAAGTGCTGTAGGTTAAACAGGTCTGGTTGCACAGAAAGCATTTGACTAATAAAAATATTCTTCAATAACCAGGTGTCCTGCTGCTAAAGAATATTTCAAGGAGAATTCCCATCATTGGAGTTGGGCTGTACAATGGTTACAGAAGAAGGTAATTGAATTTTGAACTTTCCTGACTATGTCATAAGAATCAGTAACGGC